TGGGGTTCCTTTCTCGTATCGAGCACCAGTATATAGATGCTGCCCAATTCCTTTCCAAACCCTTAGCACCGGCATCCTAAATGCTGCTAAGAAGGAAACAATTAACATGTAAACCCTCTAAACCCTGGAACTTAAAACACATTTGCCTCCACGATAGCAAACAACAGCTGAGGAAGGGCGAAACTGACTGGGTAAAGTTTTGGTCCGACGCCCAAAGCGAAAGCTGGGGGAGGCCCATGTTCTCGAAAATCCAAATCAGTTAGACCTACCTTAATGCCCGAAACTCGATATCGCAAATTGTCTATCCTATAGGACCCGTCCGGTGCAGAGCTGGGACGAGGCCAGCAGAGCAACTGCTTATGGCGTAACGATCCACGGAGACGAGGGGCAAGGCAAGCGAAAGAAGAATCTGCTTATATTGTCTTGGTCGCCAATAGCAGTCAGCAAAGAAACTATGTATAGCAAATTCCCTTACCTTGCAACCTGGTCGCACAGAAGAAATCCTGTATCGATTAGCTAACTATTCTGTAAGGGTTGCATGTACTATTAAGTGTTAAAGAAGTCATTTGTAGATGTAGACCCCACAGGTTATACAGTCAGACTACTTTTCATACAGCCACGGCACGAATGTTTCTTTGCAGCAATTCCAAGCTGACCTCGTGGAGTCATTGCAAACATGCGCAGACCCAAACAATGGTTTGGGTCACACCCTACATGTTATTGCAGGGAAAGGCGACTGGAAGTGGCGGGTTGAGTGGTTGCGACAAGTTCGATATTACAACAATAAGCAGATCTTGGGGCCCACAGCTGGTTTGTGCCCACGTTGCTTGTGTACACGCGACACGTGGTTGGATGTGCACGAACGTTTTAATGCACCGGCCGACTTAGCGACAGCTCGACTGACCGCTGTAGGCGACATCGCGCTGAAATCGTTGCCCGGATGGGAACCGGAAATGGAAGTGCCGGATCTACTTCACACGCTGTGGACCGGCACGGGCCGGGACTTGATAGGCAGTTTGTGCCTTCACAGCATCGAGACGAGCGCAAGCTACACTGGTAGCACATATGACGAGAGACTGCGACAGCTGAGACGGGACATGCAGGCATGGTGCATGGAACACGGTATCCGCCCATCAACAGTGGAGGAGCTGAGTGCTTTGGCCCTAAGTATAGCTGCATTTTTGAACATTGTGTCGGGTTTGAGTATCAAGACTTAAGCTTAATAAGTAGTAAGCATCATACCCTAGCTAGGTCTTTCGCGACTTTGTGTGGAGACCCTCAGCCTGGATTATCCGCTGGGGCCCTCCAAGGGGTACGCAAACAAGGTTTTGTTCCTCGGCAAAGCCAGCACAAAGTTTTGTAAACAATAGCACAATTATGTCTCCCATGC